CGCAGAAGAACAAGGCGACGATGAAGCATCTCTGTCTCCTCAAGGCCAAGATCGCCAAGCTCCGGCGCGAAGTGCTCGACGGCGGCAAGTCGGGCGGCGGCGGCGGCGCCGGCGAGGGCTTCGACGTCAACAAGTCGGGCGACACGCGCGTCGGCCTCGTGGGCTTTCCGTCCGTCGGCAAGTCGACGCTCCTCACCAAGCTCACGGGCACCTTCTCGGAGGCCGCGTCGTACGAGTTTACGACGCTGACGGCGATCCCTGGCACGCTGACGTACCGTGGCGCCAAGATTCAGGTGCTCGACTTGCCGGGTATCATTGAGGGCGCCAAGGACGGCAAGGGCCGCGGTCGCCAGGTCATGGGCACGGCGCGCACGTGCAACGTGATCCTCATGGTGCTCGACGCGATGAAGCCGGCGACGCACAAGAAGCTCATCGAGCACGAACTCGAGGGCTTTGGCATCCGCCTCAACAAGAAGCCGCCCAACATGGTGCTGCGCAAGAAGGAGAAGGGCGGCCTGAACTTCCAGGCCATGGTCGACCAGAGCGAGCTCGACTACGACACGGTCTTCCAGATCCTCAAGGAGTACAAGATCCACAACGCCGACGTGACGCTCCGCGAAGACGTGAGCGTCGACGCGCTCATTGACGTGATTGAGGGCAACCGCGTGTACATCCCGTGCCTCTACGTCCTCAACAAGATCGATCAGCTCACGATCGAGGAGCTCACGATCATCGACCAGCTGCCGCACAACGTGTTAATCTCGGCCCATCACGGCTGGAACCTCGACGAGCTCCTCGAGAAGGTGTGGGAGTACTGCAACATGATCCGCATCTACACCAAGCCCAAGGGTCGGCTGCCCGACTACGACGCGCCGGTCATTCTCCACTCGGAGAACCCTTCGATCGAAGACTTTTGCAACCGGCTGCACAAGACGATTCTCAAGGATCTCAAGTATGCCAACGTGTGGGGCCTCTCGGCCAAGCACCAGCCGCAGAAGGTCGGGAAGGAGCACCTCCTCATGGACGAAGACATTGTGCAGCTCGTCAAACGCATCTAATCGACGATACCCTATTCAATACTACACGACGTTCCCACAGATAGGGTCCTAAAGGAAACGCACAGGCTGCGTCGTCGCGGGAGAGACCGAGAGATGGACCCTAAACACACGTGCATATTGTCTCGAGTGTGCAGCACCGCTATATCGACTAAGCTTACATGGAGAGATGCCTTCTAGCGCGCCACGAGCGTGCAGTTGCCATCCGAATTCCTCGTTGACGACCACATGGCTAGTATGCAACAGCAGTGGTCACTGCTTGGAAACGGCTCGCTTCGTGTAGCAAGCAATACTTTATGAACAGGATCGAACGATCAATAAGAAAAGCTGGGTGAAACCATAGAGCTCCACCACACGCCAAGCCAGGGCTCGCACGCCGGCTTGACGCACACATCGCTACATGCCGTGGACTGACTTGAGTTGATCGCTAAGGAGAAGCTGCTCCCGACATCCTGTTGTCAGGGTGCCGTGTGCAGCTTGTGGATGAGCCTAGGTCACCACTCTCACTCCCCGTCACCGGGGTTGCTGGTGCGTTGGCTAACAGGGAGCCCTTGGTTGGCTGGGCCTCCTAACCTCAGCACAGAAACTTCCATGCAGATGCACACCAGCCAATGCAACAAACTTCGTTCCAACTGCACAGACCAAACTAGCTCACAGTCGTCCGACACCTGCACACATCAAAGCACAACGTGCGCGAACGACTTGTACACCAACCGTGTCATGTGCCACCAACACGCGCTGCCACGTCATATGCTGGTGTATGTATTTATAGTCGCTTGTAGCAAAAAATGCAGCGCCGCGCGTGGACGCGGCTCGTCGCAGCCATCTTCAACACGGCGGCGATGACTGTCTTTTACGGCCTCGCGGTCACCAAGTACATTCGGACAGGCGACTCGATCAACGATGTGCTCGGCTACAACACGGCGACGCTCTCGATCCATCTGCACGTGCTGCCGTTCGTCAATATGGACGTCATCTCGGCCGGGTACGGGACGCCGATTTCGCGCGAGAGCTTGAACCTCTCGACCACCGGCGTCTCGGTGCGCATGCGTCTCGGCGCGTCGACGTCGACGCTCAATGCGATGACGACTCCCGGGTCGGCCACGTTCTTCGCGACCATGGCGCTCTCGACACTCGGGCTCAACACGTCGGCGCTGCTAGCAGCGCCATGCGGCAGTACGCGGCTGCGCTCCACGACAAACATGCTGGCCAAGCCGTCGGGCAGTGCGACGTGGTCGGGCATCAACAACCTCCCGACGACGATCAAAGCGACTACCAACGTCGCCTACATGACGTCGTCGGTGACGCACGACGGACGCTGCCAAGTCAATTTGAAACTCTACCATCTCGAGGCGTTCGAGCTATGGCGCTCCCACATGCACACGTTCAACGCGTTTGAAACCACGCTGTGTACCACCTTGCACCTTCACAACGGCACAGTGATGTCGTCCAGCAACAACAACCAGGTGCTCTGGACCTTTCACCCGAGCGAGGGTGACTTCAACTGGTTCTTCTACCGCGCGTACGACGCCTCGTACAACGCTGCGGCGCTGACGTCCCAGCTCGTGAGCATGGCCCTCCTCGTAAGCGGATTTGTGCGGCGCGTGGCGTATACGACGCCGACGGGCGCGCGCAAGATGCTCGTGCGTTACTCGACGAATTTGCTCGCGCCCCAAGCCGCCTATTACAACAGCGCGATCGTCAACTTCCTCGAAGTGTACATGATTGTGAGCAACCGGTTCGCGTTCTTCCGCACCGTGAACGCGCTCGACTTTTTCATGACGTCGGGCTGGGGCTTTGACACGTACCTGCTCTACGGCAACTACATCAA